AGCGGTGGCCTCCAACCTACTAGCGATGGCCTCCATCCTAAGAGCGACGGCCTCCAACCTACTAGCGATGGCGTCAACCTACTAGCGTTGGCCTTCAACCTACTAGCGATGGCCTCCATCCTAAGAGTGATGGCCTCCAACCTGCTAGTGATGACCTCCTTCCTAAGAGCGATTACCTCCAACCTGCTGGCGGTGGCCTCCATCCTAAGAGCGATGGCCTCCAACCTAGTAGCCATGGCCTTCACAGTCATTTAATGTGTTTTTGTCAAGAACACTTCATTGACTGTAGACTATTGCTTGTTTTTATTTACTATGTGAGCAACGTCATAAACCTCTATGAAAGAATTTACGTAGGACTTAAGATTATGAATCTTTGCGAAAGGAAAACCGCAGTTGGGGAAAGCTTGGCGAAAGGTTTGGAGAAAGGCTCTGATTTTTCGATGAATGGACTTTGTTGTGAAAGCATTGGCGAAAGAGGTTTTCAGTACAAAGCATGTCATCTAAATGGTCCTTATGACCAGGCGAAGGGTATTTTGAAAGGTTTGCGAAGATGTGGCGAAAGCAGTGGTTGCAGATTAGGAATGATTCCCCTTTGCTGATACTTTTCTTAGATGTAAGTAGCAGACACTCGGTGCAAGGGTTAGCGAAAGAGGTTTTTGGGTGAGGCGGGTCAGCGAAAGCAAAACATGCAGCCGCGAAAGCGTTGCGAAGGGATTGGCGAAAGGTTCTCGCAATCTTAATAAAAGTTCCGGATGGTTTTTGACGCCGCTCATGTTGGATTTCTCAATCTTGATGAGCTTCATATCTCGGCGAGATTCATGATAGATGATATTGGATATTGGAAGTCAGAACCTATCTCCACGGATAGCAACAACTTTTGTGTCATTTTGGCATGCTTGCCCGTGCATTTCATTGGCTCATTGTGATGATCAATGATGGACATTTTTGTGACAGGTGCTATGGAGCTCTATCCTCGAGACAACGAAGACATGCGCGTGGTGCTTGAAACGGGGCATGCGAGGCGAAAAACCTCAGCAACCGGAGTGACGCGGCTGCATCGATCCTCCGACTTTGCCAGTGGGCCCTTCCTACCATCAGGCAGTTTGTTCCCTTAAGACCTTGTCCCTGGCTTCGTTCCCACATTCACGACATATCGCGTCAAGGCCACCAATTCAATGTTGTGTCTTTGGACGGTAAATCCCACCTCAGTTGACTGTGTCGCGCGTGAGGCCAATGCCGTCAGCTCCCGCAGCCATGCTGTTTGCATCATTCGCCTCTTTCAAACTGCGGGCATGCTGGTCTTAGTCGACTGTGCTGGCAGTGAGCGGAAGAAGGATCCCAGACACAGACTTGAGAACTATTGTAAATTATTTGCAAAACAAGCTCACCACCTACACATGCCTGGAGATCATCATAGGGATGTTCAGTCGGATTGTGGAAGTAGCAATGATGTGAATTTGTCCCAAGTTGTAGCAACAAAGGGCATCGCTACTAGGAGCAAGGACGCTACTAGGAGCAAAGGGCATCGCTAGTAGGAGCCAGGGCATTACTACTAGTAACAAGACGCTACTAGTAGCGATGCCCCTGTTACTAGTAGCGATGCACCTTGTTGCACCTTGTTACTAGTAGCGATGCACCTTGTTACTAGTAGCGATGC